GTTCATGCGAGAATTCCAGGCACCCAAGTCCCAGGGCTCATAAGCTGCTCCACCTGAGTTTGCCAGCCCCTGCTGCGTGCGCTACAGAGCTGAGACCAGTGGTTCTCAACCTGAGGGTCTCAATCCTTGTGGGAGTCACAGATCACATATCCTGCATATCAGATATCTACAATTCATAACAGTAGCGAATTACAGTTATGAAGTAGCAATGAAAGAATGTTATGGCTGGGGGTCCTCACAACCTGAGGACCTGATTTGAAGGGTTGCAGCATTAGGAAGGTTGGGAACCACTGCCCAAGGGAAGATAAGCTCCATTCCTCAGAGCTGGTCACTAAGCACAGTACAGGCATCAGCACTGCCTTCCCCAGCAATCCCACACAGGCAAGCACAGAAAACTGAGGACTAACCCTAGTGTCTGCGTGGGGACCAGCAATGACCGGGATGCAAACCACTCTGAAACTAGGCTACATCTATCCCTAAGTGGGGTTTAAGAAGCCCAACTTCAATCCTGAAAACCTTCTGGAAATAATAAGGTCAAAGGCCACAGAAAAGGCCTTTCTGGTCACACTCAGACACCTGTCTCTAACTGGCAGCAAGATAACAACAGAAACCACGCCGGCTACTGCAGACTTCCTCTCGCATCACCAGGCTCAGAACTCAAAACTGAGAGAAAAATGAGCATCTAGGAATGGCTCCTCTGCACTGCAGCATCCAAAGATCAAGACCCCAAACATGTGCACTCCCCATCACAGGGTCCCCACACCATGTATTCCCCATCACAGGGTCCCCACACCGTGCACTCCCCATCACAGGGTCCCCACACCGTGTATTCCCCATCACAGGGTCCCCACACTGTGCACTCCCCATCACAGGGTCCCCACACTGTGCACTCCCCATCACAGGGTCCCCACACTGTGCACTCCCCATCACAGGGTCCCCACACCGTGCACTCCCCATCACAGGGTCCCCACACTGTGCACCTTCTCATCACAGGAGTCCCCACACTGTGCACCTTCTCATACAGGGGTCCCCACAGTGTGCACCTCCCCATCACAAGGTCACAGTTCTGTATCTTTCACATGGGCTATGTTTCGAGCCCACTATATTAATGGACTCTTTTTGTTGCTAATTTCCATTTGCTGTGCTTAACACTCCTTGTGCAGACTTGCCACTCTACTGATGAAGCACCCAAACTCCATGACAGTGGCGGTATCCTATCCTCAGAAGAGTAAGCAGAGCCCACCTTGCCCAGGATCAATGCACACACAGGCCATGGTCTAAGGCTGAACATTTGTTGGCCACATGTCTCTGAACCATCACATCTATGACAGACTCAAATTCGCCAAGCATGCTTCTGAGCGCTGGAGACAACATGTCAGGCTTTCGTGTCTGTGAGACCCATGTGCCTGTGAGCCATCACTGCACATGCTTTGTGCATTATAGGACAGGCCTCTCAGGTGTGTTGCCAGAGTCATGGCCATGTCATGACATCTGAGCTCTCCAAGCGTGACCCAGCTGTCCCCAGTCTGGTTCAGTACACTCTGCTCTTTATGTCCACACCACCTCTGCACAGTGAGCAAAACCTGGGCAGAGGTAAGCTCCACGGTGTAAAAACTGGGCTAGCAAAATGCAAAAGAAACCAAAATTAACCCATTATTAAAGCAATGTAAAAACCGGGAAGGAACAGGTTAAAATATAAATTCCTCGGATGTTTGGGCCTCATTTGTTTCAAAATTTTACGAGGGTGACAGTTCAGAGACTCACAACGGAGACATTTCCATGGCTTAAAAACTTTTTTAAAAAATAAATACCTTCAGGGAATTAGAAGGTACATTTATAGACTGAGTAGATCCCAATAAAAATCCTGGCATCCGTCACAACAAACACCCTCTTGGAATTTAATTTCCTTTTTCGCACACAACTGACTACAAAAATTCACTGATGTTGCCACTAAGGCAAGTCACAATCTGCCTAGAGTGCAAAACTTCAAAGCCCCAGCAGAGGCAGAGGACTTGGTGGGAAGAGCTTCCTCATCTAAATCCACTCTCAGTCAGATTCGCTTCCTCCATGACCTTCCAGCCCGTCCCTGCTCCTACCCTCAACCCCCTTCCAGGGTCCCAGAAGCCGCCAAATCCAGTTATCTTTTCCTTGTCCAAAAACAAAGAGAAATCTAGAAAATGAGCAAAAGAAAACTAGCTATAACCACCTCCATCTACCAACACAGGGCTTGCCCTTTCTGGCTACGGATTTTGTTCAGTTCCTTCTAGAACCCATCCATAGCCCAAGGCCCTGGAATGTTCTCTGTGTATGCTGGAATTGGCGTGGGGAGGCAACAGCCGGAGGAATTATTCATAAGGACAAAAATGTACTTTAAAAAGCCTTTCTCCCCTGAGGACAATTCCTCCTGGAAGACTTAATCAATCCCATTATCTGGAGTGCCTGAGCTGGGAGAGAGAGGAGGGGCCAGCCTCACCCAGCATTCTCAGGTGACAGAGAGCAGCAGGGCAGACCACAGGCCAGGGTGAGGCCAGGGTGAGGCCAGGGTGAGGCCAGGGCTCGAGACCTACACCTGGGCCCACTGTGCTCCATGTTCACTTAACAGGCAGCATCCAGCGTCCTCCAGTGCTCGTGGGGCAGCATCCTGAGTAAGAGCATGTGGATTTTCAGGTTTGTGATGTCACCTAGAGAATGTAACCTTTTTAGACAGATAAGGATCGCTTTCCGTAGCTGCCAAAGGCTGTCTGGATGCAGAGAAGCTGCAGTGACCCAGAACTCGGCCTCTTGGCTTTGCCACTTGTGAACCGAAGCCCATTCCGCTTCGCCAAGTCTAAAAAGTCAAGACGCAAATGGCAACTATATTGGAAAGCAGGATTTTTGTTAATTCAGAAGTCTCTGTTAAGGTCATATTCACACATGCACACAATACAGATGTATGTACGTATGTATGTATACATATACTTGTTTTTGTTTTTTTGTTGTTGTTGTTGTTTTTTGAGACAGGGTTTCTCCGTAGTTTTGGAGCCTATCCTGGAACTAGCTCTGTAGACCAGGCTGGTCTTGAAGTCAGAGATCCTCCTGTCTCTGCCTCCTAAGTGCTGGGATTAAAGGCGTGAGCCACCACCACCTGGCAACAATACAGATATTTTAAGTGTTGGCTGTAATTAGTCAAGCCCTTAAGTGTTTGAAATATTATATTATACTATCTTAAACTTTACATCTACTGCCCCTCCCAAGAAACTAGCAAAACATGTTTAAGGATTACCAAAAATGACATGGCCAAATCAAACCAATATGGATTCTGAAAGCTGAAAATGGAAGCAGGCAGGAGAACATTGTTATAATAGAACCCGAAAATCCTCCCCATCTGCCCACACAGCTCGGTGGTTAATAAGCTGGTTACTGTGATTCTGTGACTGCCCTCAGCACCCAAGTTCAGACAAGGGGCTGCCGAGGGTTCTGGGGAATGAGATGGTGCAGACACAGCACACACGGCAACTTGAAGCTATTTCTTCCCGGCTGCACCCACGCATACCGCATGCCTATTTATTTACTACTTTCACGTGAAAGAAACCGGCTTAGTTCCGAAACACCACACGCAATAGGGCATCGGCCCGCTACTCCTAAACTGGGGACAGAAGAGATGGCAGGGCTGCAGGTACTCGAGGCTCAGACAGAAGGATAATGAGATATGGACACGTCCTTCAGGGAAGGCTCCATCAAGCCAACTCAGTGACCACCCCGGGCTTGAAAGCTAAAAAAAGAAACTGCTCATGCCCATGGGTGATATGTTCCGTGTGTTCTCAGTTTTAGGGCCGCTTTACAGCAAAGACAAATGGGCAGCCCAGAACAGCCACCGCCGGGATACACAGCACTCACAATGTACACCTCCTACAAGAAAGGCATTTTGGCTTTGTGTGATCAATCTTTTCCGCTTCTGCTTTCCTCTAAAACTATCGCAGTTTCTTCCATAAAGCACAAGGCTACACTTCAGTCTTCCACAGAAACCTATTCCTGCCTCCCACACATCGGCTTTTCTCTCCTATTGCACAGATAACAACACTGAGGTCCAGAGGGCTAACCCAAGGTCAAGTCCCGCTGGTACACTGAGATTCTCTCAAGGACCCAAGAGGCCCCTGGCCTGGGCCCACAGCTGTGTGCTACTGTGCTGGACTTGGCAAATAAGTGTCTTGGATACTAAGTTTATTTGGAGGTGGGAAGGGTCATCGGGTTCATCAAAGGGCACCGCATAGGTTGTCCTAACATACGTGGGCATCCGCGGAAACCTTGTTTGGGAAGTATCCAACGACAGACAGAAAATCAGAGGCCACGTCTCCTATCCACACACTAAGCCTAGATGTGCTGTGTGGCTCTGGGAAGCTGCTGGCCCAGCCCCGGGAATCTCTTAAACGCTAGGGGGCCCGGACTTTCGCAGCGCTGAGCGGGGAAGGAGAGGGTGGGTGGGTGTGCGTGCTCCATGCGGTCCCATCCCACTCTCCTCGGAACACCCTACACGTACCGTTCACTCCGCGGCCCGCTCAACTTCCCCAGGACAAACGCACCGCAGTGTGAGGTGAATGAGGCACCGGGAGGGGCGGTCCTGGAGCCCGCGACGCAGGAAACCACGCTAGGCTCCTTCCCCACGGGGGCCCCGGACGCCACGAGGGGCCCCCAACTCTGGGCCGGGCCCCTGGGCCGCAGCGGGGAAGAGGCCAATTCGTCCCCGCCGCCTTCCCGGGTTGCCCGGCCGCCCGCCGCCACCTGCAACCCCGCAACCCTCTGCGGGCCGCGCGGGGCCTCGGCCGCCCGCGCCGCACTTCCCGCCCGGCCCCCCGAAGCCAGCCAGCCGCCCCAACTTTTCCCGGCCCGGCCCGGAAGGCGCGGCGGGGAGCGCGGAGCCGTCCCGCCCGCCAGCGCGCGCCCCCCGCGGCGCCCCGGCCTCCCGCAGCCGCGCGCCGAGGCCCCGCCCGCAGCCGCGCGGTCCCCGCAGCCCCCGCGCCCACCTGCCGCCGCCGCGCACGGCCGGGTACGTGGCAGGGGCCGCCGCTCGCCCGCCTCGCCTCTGCTCGCGCCTCGCGGGCGGCTCCGGGGCGCGGGAGCGCGGCGCCAGGCGCCCTCTGCCGCCGGGAAGCCGAATCCGGCGCCCTAACCCTAACGCGGCGCCGGGCCACGCGGCACCCTGCACCCCGCGGGCGCCCCGCAGGCCTGGACGCCCGGCCCGCCAGCTGCAGGCACGCACGCGTCGCTGGCAGGGCCCGGAGGAGGCAGCCAGGCCTGCCGCACCCCGAGTCTGGGAACCAGTGAGTGGGAACTGGGGGTCTGGCTCGTCAAAGCGAAGTGCTTTATCGCACGGTCAACTGCCAACAGGCCAGGTACACCCAGCCGCGCCTCCGCCATTGGTGAGGGGGAAAGGAAGGGGTAGGGTTTGGGGAGTGAGTATAAGTTCTAAATTCTACGTGACTGAGAAGAGACAGGAGGCGCTGGCTTCCACCCTTGCAGAACTGTTTTCTGGTGGTCTTTGAGGACATTCAGAAAGCTGCACCATTTCATATCTGGAGCAGATCAGTGCCTGATGGCGGAAGTTTGTGCTGTGACTTGTGCCTGGGGTTTATGAAGAAGCAAAATAAAAATACAGATCCTTCCCCTCCCATGCAAGTAGGCTTTCACGCCTCAAGGGGATGCTCCGACGACAGTGTTTGTTTCTTGTAAATTATACATGTGCACACGTGTTGAGTTTATCATAAATAAAATGGGATTCCTTGCTCCTTATCTCATCAATATTAAAGCCCCACAAGGCCCTGAGCTAAATGTTACTAAGGACTTGTAGCCAAACACAAGATTTAAAGCAACCACTGGCTCAGGATTACCAATTTCCTTTTGCCAAAAATGAACTCATCCATAATAGTCATAAACCTACTTCCTGATACTGTGGTTTGAAGATCCACAGAGATCTTGTACAGAACTTAGCATAGCCGTGGCGCTTACTTATTTTATTACTGGTCCATCGCAGGATGAAAAAACACATATGTATAAGAAGGCTACTTTGGGGGTCTAAGGAGATGAGTCAGTAAATTACTGGCCACCCAAGCATTGGGACCTAAGTTCAGATCTCTGCGTCTCCATAAATCCAGAGCATATTGTGAGCTCTCTCTGTCTCTCTCTTTTTCTCTCTGTCTGACTCTCTGTCTCTCTCTGTGTCTCAAAATCCTAGTGGGGGAAAGGAACATTTCTGAACTCTTTTCTCACTGACCTGCTAGCCGAGCTAAAAGGTTGAGATCTAGGTTCCATGAGAGACCCTGTCTCAAAAACAAGGTCTCAGCCATAGAGGAAAGACCACTGGTGTTGACCTTTGACCTCCACGTACGTGCACAGGTACCTGCAGGCCCACAGGGACACACACAAAATAAGAGCTAGTTTTTAAGGTTTTTGTTTACACGTATACATGTGTTCCCTGAGAAGGCCAGAAGAGGGCACCAGATCCCCTGGAGTTTCAGTTACCCTGGGTTCTGAGCTTTCTGATACTGGAACTAAAACTTGAGTCCCCTGGGAGAACTGCAAATGCTCTTAACTTCCGTGCTCTCTCTCCAGCCCCTAAAAAGGCGATGTTTTCACTTGAGGACATCTTTGTATCTTAGGTTTTGTTGAGATTTGTTTTGTTTCGTTTTGTTTTATTGGGTTTTTTGTTGTTGTTTGTGGTCCCTCCCCCCAGACAGGGTTTCTCTGGGTAGCCTTAGCTGTCATGCTCTGTAGACCAGGCTGGCCTCGAGCTCACAGAGATCCACCTACCTCTGCCTCCTGAGTGCTGGGATTAAAGGTGTGCACCACCACCTTAAGGACATCCTTAAAACCCCACGTAGTAGCTCTGTCGCCTGATAAACCAAGTCAACTCTGGGAACAAGGCCTCTCCTGTCTCTCCTCCAGAGTCTCGCTGGTACACTGGTTAAGAGCTGTGGCACTGCCCAGATTTCCTCCAGAGCTTGTGACCGGTCCTTTAAGAAGGTCTGCCGGTGGACGAGGCAACCTCTAGAGCACACAGGTGTTTCATACAACACTATCAGTGTAGTTAGCAAGCACATAGGACAAACTATTCAGTGTTGTGGGCCCTGATCCACGTTTCTAAAGATCCAATTTCCAAACAATCAAAAACACCCTAGGGGGGAGGGGGGAGACCACTTTACTCATCTGTCCTAAGCATTCTGTCACATAAATCCCCACCAGTCTTTAGTATTGGTAAAACTCCCCCAGTTTGTGGACTTACAGAATTTTTTTTGGTTGAACACAGATCTGAAGAGATTCAGAAAGCCACCACAACGGACACTCACTGTTTCTGTTCAATACTACTACTCAGAAAGTACAGCCCAACACCCATAAACGTGAGGCAATTGGCAGAGGCTCTACTCCCCGAAGTTGCCTTCCGGCCTAACCTCAAATAAGGAGTAGCAATGCAAATGAACCGATTAGACTAATGATACAGACAGTACCCCAGCTTAGAAACCCCCCACTTGTGCCTTGCGGCCTTCCTACCTTAAGCCACCTTTGCACCCCCGTGTGGTGTTCAGCAAGTGTAGTCAGCTTCAGACACCCACCTGCCAAATGAGTAAAGAACCAGTTAAAAGAAACCACATTGCCGGCCTTGGCCAGCCCATTCACCCCGCCCCCATACAAGGTAAATTTTGTCACTACACCCAAGATACCAAACTCCAGGGTAAGAAACCGTGTGAGGGGAAGACTTTGTCCTCAAGTTTGAGCTCTGGTGGATGTGACATGTGCGGGTATCCTCCATCTAGGGCACCAGGAATGACATGCAGTTTATATAAAGTCAGTCAGCCTCAAGGTTTAGTCTGCAGCACTTTTTCCACTAAATATGCTGTATATAACTTCCCACTGCCAAAAATTCACAAGTATTTTTAAGAAGCATTGAAGAAATCCGCCTTTTAATAAGATGACTCCAAGTTCCTTTATGTTTGGCAAGCACCTGTTTTGCATCCTAGTGACAGGACCCTCATTTACATGTTAGAGTTGCTCATTCCAAAGGTCAAGAGTCATTGATCACACAGCACTCCCCTGACTTGGAAGAAGTATGCCCACCCTAAGATGGCCCCCTCCCGTGCTAACTATGTGACCACTTTGACCTGTGGGTATATTATGAGATCTTAGGAACTGAGTTCTTACTCTTTGCTCTTTTGGTGGGTGTCCTCCTAAGATTCCCACAAAGAACCTCTAACCTCTATGGAAGACCCCAAGGAGAGAAAAGTCCTGCAACACAGCCTGGTCCTCACTTGAGCAAGTCTTGGGCAAAGCCAGCCACAAGGATTTCAACCCATAAAATGGTACTGGTTTAAGTCATTCAGCATCTGGAATGGTTTTTACACGACAATAGATAATAGAGACACCCACCCTTTCTGGTAAGCATTTCTACAGTTACAAGGTCTTGGTGAGATTCACCCAAGAATCAGTCTCCAGCTAGGGTTTTCCATCATGAAGTATCCAGCTGCAGCCTGTGTCTGAGCTTAGCCAACCATCACATTTTATGTAAATGCTTCTCCCAGAGTTCTTACTGAATTGGTTCATCACTGAGCCTGGCAGGTTAAAATTCCTTTGCTGCCAGTCTGACAAGGAGCTGGCAAGGTCAGCTTGTAAGCTATCAAGCTGTGAGCCTATCTGACTTGAATGCCAAGCATAGGTGTCATGGAGGCTGGGTAGCTGATTTCTTCCCTATATCGTAAGCTGCTTAATGACAGTGTGTGTGTGTGTGTGTGTGTGTGTGTGTGTGTGCGCGCGCGCGCGTGCGCGAGCGTGCATACTGTGCTGTGGTGCATGCAAAGGTCAGATAACGGCCGTGGGTGGCAGTCTTTGCCTTCAGCCTAGTGTCTGGAGGGGTCTCCTGTTCAAGGCTGCGTCTACCAGGCAAGCTGACCTATGAACTTCTGGCAGTTCTCTCTTTGCCTCCCATCTCCCAAGAGGGGCATGATGGGATTGCAGATGCATGCACTACTGCATCTGGCTCTTCTTGTGGCTTCTGGGGCTAGAACTCAGTGGTACTGCATGTGCAGCAAGTGCTTTGCCCCATAAGCCATCTCTGCAGCCCATGATGAGATCAGGAAATACTGAGGAGTGAAGAACAAGCAGGATCATTTACTTTAGTATCTCTCCCCATGGATCTGTCACCGCACAGACTCTTTTACATCCCTGAACTGTTCTGGCTGTCCTTTTTAACATTTGTTGCAGTTTAAAATATTCTTCCTGGGGCTGGAGAGGTGACTCCGCTGGCTAAGCATTTGCTGCTCTTTCAGAGGACCCAAGATCAGTTCCCAGCACCCATATCAAGTGACTCACAACTGCTTGTAATTCCAGTTGCATATCTGACCCCTCTTCTGGCCTCCTAGGGCACCCACATATATTCACAGAGACACATACACAAATAAAAACATAAATCTTTCAATACAATGATCTTGGACAATATTTTGGGCAATCTAAGAGCTAGGGTAGACAACATCTCACATACACACACAAAAAAATGGTGGGCAGGTAGGTGGCCTGCAGACTCTTCATCCATGTTTCAGAAGGGCCAAGAGCTGGAGTCACACAGGAATTGTTGGGGACAAACAGGCCTCCAGAAGGCTCAACTACTAAAACAGCCACTAGTTTTCTTCTGTGCCTTCTAACCCATAAGCCCTACAAGAAAAGCAGGTTGGCCTTACATGGTCAAGATTACTCCCTCCGCTAGTAAAGACTTGTATATCTTCCCTGAGTTAATGTGGGGAGGGGGTCCCAACTTCCTATATTAGAAAAGGTGTGTGAGGGTGTTGACGGAGGTTTCTCTTTCACCTGGTCCTGCAGCTGTTCAGTTAAATGATGTGGGCTTACCCTCTGTATGCTGTGAATACCACTGGTTAATAAAGAACTGTCTTGGGCCTGCACAGGGAATAGAGGTAGGCAGAGGAAACTAAACTGAATGCTGGGAGGAAGAAGGCAGAGTCAGAGAGAAGCCACAGAGTTGCCACCAGAGACAGATATGCTGAAACTTTGCTGGTAGGCCACAACCTCATGGTGATGCACAGATTAATAGAGATGGGTTAAAATAAGATGTAAGAATTAGCCAATAAGAAGCTAGAGCTAATGAGCCAAGCAGTGATTTAATTAATACAGTTTCTGTGTGATTATTTTGGTTCTGGGCAGCCAGGACAAACAAGTGGCCCTCCTATAACAGTTAAAGAAATACCCAGAAGTCTACATTAATTATAAACTGATTGACCTATTACTCAGGCTTCTTATTAATTCTTACATCCTAAATTAACCCATAATTCTTGTCTGTATTAGCCATGTGGTTTGATACCTTTTTTCAGCGAGGCATTCTCATCTTGCTTCCTCTGCATCTGGGTGACGACTGCAGACTGACCCTTTTCTCTTCCCAGAATTCTCTTGTTCTCATTGTCCCACCTGTACTTCCTGCCTGGCTACTAGCCAATCTGCATTTTATTAAAGCAATACAACTGACAAATATTTACAGGGTACAAGATCATTGTCCCACAGCATGAGGGGGAGGTTGGCACAGTAAGAAAGTTCAGCCATACTCAGAAAGACAAGTGTTGTGTGCTTTCTCTCCTGTGGGTCTAAAATTTTATGTGTATACCTAAAACTATTTATATGTGTATATAGTATGAATGTGGACATGAAGCTGGCTGGGAAAGGGAAAGGGGCCAATGGGGGGTATATTTTGTCA